AAGGAAGGAAGGAAGGAAGGAAGGAAGGAAGGAAGAAAGAAAGAAAGAAAGAAAGAAAGAAAGAAAGAAAGAAAGAAAGAAAGAAAGAAAGAAAGAAAGGGGAGAAGGGAGGCAGGGAGGGAGGGAGGGAAGGAGAAAGGAAGGAAGGAAGGAAGGAAGGAAGGAAGGAAGGAAGGAAGGAAGGAAGGAAGAAAAAGAATAAATAAATGGTGGACGGTGCCTGATGAATGAAATCTAAGGTTTCTGTATATCCCCTGCCACATAAACACATACACACACAGGCATGCTCACACACAGCAACATGACTGAACCTGCGGTTTTTAGAGCCTGGTGTGGCAAGCTTTGTTGAACCCTCCTTATTTCGGGAAAAGAGAAAAGGAACACAAGAGGAGACCGAAAGGGGGAAATACTTGAAGGGAAAGAAGTAAGAGGGACGTGGGAAGGTGGAAGGACAATTGCTCAGACCAGAGCCAGCAGGAAGACCCCGAAGGAGATGACCTAGCCCGGCAGGAGTGTCTTGGCCCACGGCGTGGCCCACACACATCCACAAACTCCATGAGTGCAAGCTGAGGCCAGCTTCGCTGCTGGCAAGCCGCAGGCCCAAGAGAGCCCAGGCAGGCAGCTTGCACACATGCCTTAGCAGCAACGCCCCCCTTCCCTCCCTCGGGGGAGTTTTCGTCAGACTTGGTGAAGCTTTGGGGGTGTGTGTGTCAGGAATCGCTAGGGACTCAGGCTCATGGGGGGTCAGAGGCAAGAACGGCCCCCACTCAGCTTCGAGGGTCAGTGGACAGTGAACAGAGGGAGGGGAGACTGAGGGAGGAGACCCACTTCTGAGGATCCTGTCCTTGTGGAGGAACTGCTGTGTGCAGTGAAATACCCCGCAGAGGCTGAGAGGCCATTCCTGAGTGGCTCTATCCACGAGGCCCGCATGGCAGAGCTCTGTGGGAGATGGCGGCCGGGAGCTTAGCAGAGCTGTTTCTTCGGTCTGTAGACATTTCTGTATTGCAAAGTCACAGAGGTAAAATTCTTAGGACCCATCCCTGGGGTATCCTTGAGGGTTTGACATACCAGCAGAGGTAAGAATCAGCGCTGAGAAAGCCTCCTACCCAACTCGACTTGGTATGTCAATCATTCGTGTCTGCTCTCCTGAAGCGGAAGTCCCGCCTGCACCGGGGGAGCCATGAAGGACTGGAAGTTTTTTGTTTTTTTGTTTTTTAGTTTTTTTTGGTTTTTTCGAGACAGGGTTTCTCTGTGTAGCTTTGCGCCTTTCCTGG